CCCCCCCCTTGGACCCTACTGATGAACTGACGCCTCTGTCCTGCGGTTGTAGTTACACTACGTACACACTGAGCGTACAAGCCTGACAAAAAGCCCACATTCGCCCACCCCCCACCCGTCAGGCAGAGCCAACTGCTACCAGAAACAAACGAAAATAAAACGGAAAGCGGGGGGGGGGCGGGGACAGAGCAAGATAGACACGAGACTCGTGCGCAAACCTCAGAGCAGCATAGGTGCCAAGCCGTAGGAATGCATAGTCTGGATGGTAGAAGAGATAGACCGAGGAAAGGCATCCGGGCAGGAGGTCCACAACCCCAATAGCAATCAACTTCTCTCCGTCTAACCAGTACTGTTGGTGATAGGAGCCAAAACCGGGAGCCTCTTCGCCTTTTTTCTGCTTGCGACCGCTGTCAGAACTCTAGATAGGGAATAAGAATAAAAACCGTCAATCAGTTGTTTTCTCCTCACTTACTGACGTAAGCAGCGGTGAAAGTTACAGTGAGTCAAGGAGGGGTGGGGCCCAGCGCGGCGACCGAGACGGCACTGCCACATGACGACTATGTAGCCTCGTAGAGTTGGACTCGATGTGACTCCCGTCGCCGAAGGTCTGCGTACTATCATTAATTAAACTCCCTCCTAGCCCGCTATCTTAATGTGGAGGCTATAAGAAAATTAAAAACTTAGATGGAGCATGCATGCTATCTTTAGATTGTTTGTGTCCATGGGATCTTTAACTTGAATAGGTACAGTGAGATGTTTGGAAAGGTATTTATTTTTGAAAAGTTCGAACATATAAAATGGAATTCCCCCTTTGCTGAAGCTAGTCATTTTGCTAACAACCGAGGATATTATAAAGCGAAATGCTTCGAGATATTACCTTTCTGGATCAGCACCGAAATTTTTACAGATATTTTATGACGATAACAAACTAGTATCCAAAACTTGCAACGTTTACACAAACCGTCCTCTGAGCATGTGTTACTCGAACTAGAGTGCTGTCAAACGGGAGCTAGATCCTTCCAACGGGAGAAAGCATGTCAAGTTGATAGTAGTGTATTCGCGGTCTTCATAGCAATAACAGCAAAGAGCAATGACTATCTACAGTTGAGGCATAAATAACCCACACTAAATGCATCTGAACAGTGTTGACCATTTTCGATTGCAACAAAGGAAATACCGACTGTATACAAATTCTCAAGGATGATCCTCACTCGGGAGGCACGTTCAAACATCAAACATATTAAATATACACTACTACTCGTTTAGTACTAGTACTATAACGACATGTAACGAGTTTTATTGCATATACTTCTTATATTGTGAATAAACGGGTAGGAATTATGCCTCACCACGAGAGGAGACTGCACAAGGAAGCGCAGAAACTGAGAAAGCTTCACTTCATCGGCGCTGTCGCCGTGAACTGCCATTTGGTAGTCTGCGTAGACCTTGTGTTCTGCAGCCAGTGTTGAATTGAAGGCCGAAGTACGCGGCGAACTGCGACAGAGGCGAACCTGTTTTAGAGTAGACGTAAGTACTGATTACTATGACTGATAAACAGGCATACAGCTATAACTAAAAAATCAGGCAAACTAAGAAATTCCCTCAGAGATAGGTCGTTTTGGGCGTAACATTTGCCTTTCTAATTTTCAAGGCATGTTTGCCGGTTCGTCATTGGATTCGTTGACAACCTACAAAAAGGACTAATCCCTTTAACTGCACCTAGCAAAAGATGCAGTAGTTTGCTGAATTTTGTGCCAATACGCACGTAACGTTCCCCATTCCAGGGCAAACAGGGGCTGTGTTCGTCTCTACTTTTCGTTCTGGTCTGAGTGCATTGCTCCAAGGGGGACCGGCAGCTTTCTACTTTTGAACAGACGCCAACGATGCCAGTTTCTGCCGTTCAGGCTGCAAGGGCCCCTCATGATAGTCTCACGGGCCAGAGACCCAAGTCGCCCCCATATATCAGTCAGTCAGTATCAGTCAGTATATTTGGAGTAAATGACCGAAGCC